TGTTTATTTCTTAGCGCTGAAGATATTATGTGGAATGTCAAAACTTCCTACCCAACAATATAATCTGGTATTTTAAGTCTTTTAACCAGTGGAAATGAGGTTTCTCGTATGTTTTTGTGCGATTATTAACTTGTAAATATGTATGCCGCAGGATAGGTAATCAAAGACAGGTTTGAATTACGAGAGAATTTATTCTTGCCTTGTGGTATAGAATTTTTCAAAATCCAGATTTCTAGAAACGTTAGCTTTATTTCTAAATGTGATGCTGTCACGTAAGAATCTTTAATACAATAAAATAAAAAGTGAATAAACCTTACAACTAAAAATCATTTGGTGTGCAGCTAAAACAGCCTTCTGTATGGCTTATGGTATAAAAATATCCGATAAATTTTCACTATGTACAAATAACACCTAAACCTAAGTACATATCACATTTTGGAAAAAATGAGATCTTATCAGACTTGGCACTAACACTTTATTGCAAACAAAAAGGTAACTTTGGCGTTAGAAACTACCCGATGCAGCCAGTGGTAAAAAAATATTTACAATAACCATACGATAGTTAGTATAACAACAACCAGACATTAACTATGACCTTACAAAAAATTCGACAACTATGAGTATCAAAGCAAATAAACAATGGACTGCCTAAATTTATCTAGCCTTCTCAAACTTTGAATACATTTTATTCAAGTGGCCTTCACACAGACTTGAGACATAATATTCGAGAAAGCATCTTCCCGAAAATATGGCTTTAAAGACCATTTATACACAAACAGTTTTGTATCAATCTGAGATCACAAATATCCAAATTGTATTTGCATATTGACTTGTTGCATCTGTTGCGGCTATTATCTAAATACTTATTGTTTGTAACTTGAACGATACAGATGATACATTTTGGACTTGTACGATCAATAGAATTTTGAGTTACATGATGTCTTGATGGATTGAACTGAAGACAATTGCTAATAACGAATCAATTTAAACCTAAATTAATTAAAAAAAACCTGAAAAAACAATACAAAAAACATAAATACATTTGATATGTCAGAAGTTTAAAAATGTAGGTGTATAAAAAATATGATGTATATAACATATATAAGTGAAGGCTATTCAACATTTCATGATTTAAAAGTATAAAATTGTAACAGTTATACAAAAAAAGGAATGCTATATTAGAACTATTTTTGTGTGAGGTGTATACTGTATACTTCCATTCAAAATAAATGTCTTCATATGTCTTTTAAATTCATCATATGATAGCAATTTTGTGGATCGAGGTAGAGCATTGTAAAAAATAATTGCGGTGTAGGTGAAGCATTTACGAAAGAATGATGTCCTGTGGAGGGGCATTGTGAGTGTTTCAGTGAATCGAATGTCCCTGGAAAGGACATTGCTTCTAGATATCAGCTTATTTCTCAAAAACGGCGGAATGGATGATAGCAAAAGCCTGTGGGAGTAAGTAACTAAGTGTAGCTCACACAGTTCATTTACTCTCAACCATTTCATGTCAATGTAAAAAGGGCTGATATGATCATATTTTTTCAAATTATTGATCAACCTAGAACATGAGTTTTTGATTTTTTGGAGACGTGCTAGAGATATTGAGTCAAGAAATAGAAGATCAACTTAATCGCAATAACTAATTTTGGACATTACCAAAGATTCACACATTTTTTTAATTGTAAGGTCAAGAAACTGTTTATTAAGAATTGACGTAAAATTGAAAAACAACTCTTACTGATATTATTTACATGTGGTATAAAATTTAGACCTTCATTCAAAGTTACGCCCGAGTTTTTCAATGATTCACTTACTTCTATAGTCTGACCATTTAATTTTACTTTAAAATTTCTTTTGACATCACTTCTAGATAGTTTTGGTAAAAAAATGATGACTTTCGATTTCAAAGGGTTTAGCTGAAGGTTATGATTATTTGCAAACATACTAAAAGACGTTATATCTTCATTTAAGTAGTAGATCTGTGAATCGTCGGCAAAGAATTGGATATTACAATATTTAACAATTGAGTGGAGATCATAAATACACAAAATGAATAGGAGTGGCCCAAGTGCAGACCCTTCAGGCACTCCGGAGGAAATGATGCACTTTGACGATATAACCATGTCCATGTGTATTAGATATTAAACCAATTTCAGTAGTTTAAGGAAAGTCAGGAAACCATTCCTCTATTCTCCATGATAGACAGGTGGATAAACATTATGTTAATCGATTTCTTAATGTAGAAACAACTAATATAGTCCGTACCATGAATGTTGGCGTACACGTCATCATTTGTACATTTCCGAGCAAATAGTTTTGAAGTAGGCACTTTCTACCATAGGCGTGCAACCGGGAAGAGATTATTAGTAGTAAAAATGTACTGTGTCAGGCGGCAAAAAGTATTTTCTGTATATTTCGAAAATATTTGCTGCACAAAACGGCAAGTCTTGATTTATTGTTATTTGAATGCGCGATTTAAGGAACATATTTCAATTTTGCAGAAAATGAAGAAAAACAGAATATTTTCTGAAAAAGCATAACATTGAGAAAAATATTGAAATTTCGGTTTTAAGTTCTAAAATTAAACATACTCGAACATATAAGGTAATTAATAGATTTTTTATTTGTACTGGTAGATAGCGTATATGAACACAAAGTTACGATGAATTACCAGGCTCTATCACACAACAATTCCTTCAAGCTTTCATGGGTAGGTTTGACCGAAATAAATATCGCTGTCTTAAAAATCTTTATCTGAACTGCTGTCGTCTCCATTGATTGTAATAATCACTTCTGGCACATTATCCAGGATTCGTTGTCTGTTATACCATGCATCTATAACTCCCTCCGTGTGTGTGACAACAGAGGCCCATCTTTCAGGAGTACAGTTTTCCAATGCCTTCTGTCACATGCCTAGCACTTTGTCAGCGTCATAACCTTCCTCGCCTATATGGGTATCATAATATTGTTTTGCCGGTGCCCATATCAGTTCGATGGCATTGAACTGGCAGTGGTATGGCGGTAGTCGCAGTACCTCATGCCCATGTTCTCGTAGGTATTCATCAACAACAAATCTTGCAGGCCGAGCATGTTGCTTGGCCAATTTTAAGAGTTCACTTTAAAATTGGTTCCTCTCAAAATTTATGTTGTTTCCCTCCAACCACTGTATGACCTGGGCTTTTGTCCAAGATGATATTGGCTGCTTCTCCACTAATACACTGTGGTAGGAAGCATTATCCATAACAATGAGGCATGGCTCCTCCAAATTTGGAACCGGCTTCTCTTTGACCCACTTCAAAAATATATCGCCATTCATGTTTCCATGATAATCTGCCAGTTTTGAGGCAGTGCCATAGATGAGTGAAGCATTCTCCACGAACCCCCCACTGTGACCAGCATGTAATACAATATAGCGTTTGCCTTCAAATCCCCCAGGTTTTCGGGTCCCTTTTACGGATCTGTCCTGCCAGGATCTCTTCCTGTTCCCTTCTGCAAAAATACATGTCTCATCTAAGAAAACAACTGTGCGTTTAGAGGGGGAGTTTCCATTTTCATTATATTTGCGCAGAAATTCTGCTCTCAAAGCAACGACACTGCTTTTCTCCATAATCGCCTTCCGGTTGTCTTCCTGTTTATATTGGAAGCCAATAAGCGGCAATAAGCGGCACAATGACATCTTGCTTATGTCCACTATTTGTTTGACGTCCAATTCTTCCTTTAATATTTTGATAGTAACATACCTCTCTGTAAGTATTAATACATAGATAAATCGTATCAATGGAGACAAAAATACGTACTTTCTGAGTACATGTTGTAAATTGCATTTTTCACTTCCATCTTCACAGCGTCTGGTAAGTCTGCTGTTTTTGTTTTTTCCCGGGGCTTATATTTTTTTGTTTTGGAGGCAGCTTGATCTTCCTGGTCTACGGGCTTTCGGGGTTTTCTTTTGATTCTCTGAAAATACGTGACACCGTCCGCATACTAATGGCCATTGCGTGGGAAACACGCTGAAAATTTGATTTATTTATTTTATGATTTATTAGACTTCGTATAATGTCACATGTATTAGTGATAGGCATGTGAATAAACTTTTAGGTTCTGTCGATGGTGAAAAAACCCTACAACTTTTTTTTCAACGTTCGAGAGTTCGAGACGTTCGAGAGTTAAGCTTCGAGAAACCAGAGTTATTCATTGTCTGCCTTGATAGTTTTCTCTCCATTTGAAAATGTAATATAAGATATAAAAATTAAAGTATAATATAATTTTTTAATACATGTGTAACATAACAAGAAAAACATGACGCAAGGAGAAAAAACAACGTGAAACTTTTTTCAATAATACATATAACCATACATATAAATATTACCTCCTGAATTGCGTCCACAGGTAATAAGGGCCCATTATTACGTTTTTCGCGATCAAAATACTTTAGTAGCTTCACCACCATGTCCCTGGCTACTCCATCAAGTCTTTTGCCGGGCATTTTTAATTCACTTTATTTACACTAATTGTAAAGAACAACAAACCGGAAAACGGTGCAAAAATCAACCGCGCAGGTCTGAACCTTTGCTATACAAACCGTACGCGCATGATCGTCGCTGTCACCGTGACTTACGATATAGTACGACCTACCTAATAATACCCTCTTTGTCTAACACATTGCTGCGTAAGCGGCAACGCTCCCAACTTCTGTCGTAGCACCAGAAAACATATGTTATTGTTATCCAGTACGGTCGTGCTCACTCGTTAAAAGGAGATGGCAGAAAATCTGCCAGTCGTGGATAAATGCATCAAGTGATGACGTGTATGCCAACATTCATGGTACGGACTATACTATTTAACCGCGACCGCACTCGTTCGCGATAACCCAGGAATATTAGACTAAAAAGATCGCAACAGAAAAGCCTAACGTTCCTGAGCTATTCCGAAATGTAATTCTGACGTTTGCGGTCAAACTAAACGCAGACCACGGAACAACTGGATGTACAAATATCTTACTTCCTTTTCACTTTGGATTTAACTTGCAGCTCCCCGTTCTTCCTATCTTCCCCTGCTTTGAGGTTATTCAACAAGGTCCTATACTGTATGATCTGCATGGCAGTTATGGATGGATCACTGCAGGTTTCCAGCCATTCGAGAAATTTCTCACCATGTTGCACGGCTTCAATTCGGGTCAAAGTATCTTCTTCCACTCTGGTTGCATTTCTGTTCACAGCAACGTTGATGCTATTGTTGAGCAATAGTTTGTCTAAGACTGATCTCACCTTGTTATTGGTGGTTTCTTTCTGTTGTTCATTGTGCATTGAGACATTTTCAGCGCCTTGTTGGTCAGGTACTCGGACAATCTGAAGCAAAGGTTGAGGTTGAACTGGAGGAGATAAAGTAGCAGCTTGAGGTTCATTGGTCAATTGCTGATAATAAACTAGCTTGGTGTCTTGTGGCAATTGCTGGCCATAAGGTTGCTGGTTGTACCGTTTCAAAAAACAAGAGCTTTGATTCGCAGTCATAGAATTATCAAATTGTGTTGAACTTACTGTGCTAGTACTGGCGGGCGACGAACTTGGAATCCCATTGGAAGTTTGCAGAGTGGCTGACGTAGACAGCCAAGACAATATTGCTTCATCGACACGCTGCTTGTCTTTGGGAAGGTGATGCACCATGTCTTTCTGCTTGTCCACAGTGGTCAATAATCCACATTCGGCTGGTGATATTCTGGTACTTGTATCGGCGGCTGCTGTCACATAGGTCTTGGCCTGTTCTTGCAAAGCCTTCTGCATCACCAATGCGTTCCAATGCGCCATCATATTAGCTGTAAAAGCTGTCAGGTCGGAGGGACAGCTGTTCATACGGGCCAATTCAGACCTACTGCGTTCGCTCTCTGTCATTCGGTTGGTAAATTGTGAAGTTTGCGGTCTATAAAGCGATGTGTTCATGCTGGAGTCTGGTTCTGTATGCTTGAATCTCAGGTCATCTTCATAATTTGGAGAGTGCTGTCCGTTCCGTTTCAGACTTAGGTTGAAGGGTTGATCTTCAACCTTTGGCTTCTTCGAAATGGTGTAGTCATTGAACGATTCGTCTGTGTCAGGGCTGGATTGACGAGACAGGTATGCTATTTTGTCCTCGTTCTTGCACCAACCTCTGAGGGTTGATTCTGGGACCCCGATATCACTGGCAACCGACGCCTTTGTTTCACCACCATGCACCCTCCGTATAGCATCCAACTTTTCATGAGCGGTTAGCGACCGTAGCGGTCGCTTACCTGTCTTTACCACCGACATGATGTACTTCCGTTAACGTACGCACAACTAAAGTTAATGTTAATATCCAGCGACACGCGGGCCTCAAGGGTAGCTAACGCTTGTTGCTGAATGGCAAACACTTGGAGCGACGCGAACTTCGTCAGAGCGCGACTGATCGCTGAGAAGGATTGAGTCCGGCTAGGTATACTATAACTATCTAAAACTGTAATGACTCATCGATGTTCACGTGAACATCACTTAACTACCAATAGTCGGCTGTTCATAGGCGGGGTATGAATGTTTAACATGGGTGAACTAGATTTGTCACATGCTTAACAAAGAGTGGTTTGAAACATATTGTAAGTCAAAAATTTGGGAATTACCTTTATTCATCGTCGCTTCCACTTACATCTGACAGTAATAAAATGTCGCTATCGCTTTCCTCGTTGAAATTGACTATAACTGGCTCTATGATGGTGTCGATGTGGTGGTCAAGCTGCCACATTTTTGTTTCTTCCTTCACAACATGACGGATAGCATTCTGCCAAGCTTCGGGCGTTACTAGCTGTATGGAAGTCTCAACTAGAACTTTAACGTCTGGTAATATGAAGGTTGTGTTATGGCGCGCAATATAACCCTTCACTTGAGCCCAGATGAGCTCTATTGGGTTCAGTTCACAGTGGTAGGGCGGTAACCGCAGCACAGTGACACCACATTGACGGGCCATCTCATCAGTCACGTAACTAAAATGTTCGCAGGTTTGTGCTGTTTAATTTTTTCATACAATTCCGCTTTCACACATGAATCGTCAAACGGGATTCCTTTTTCGCGCAACCATTGCTGCATGTCACTTTTTCGAGATCCCATAGTCGGTACACGTTCGGCTCGACGACTATGGTAGGAAGCATTATCCATGACGATCATAGAGTTGGGCTCAACTCGCTGAAGCACCCTTTGAAACCAGCTCTCTAAGCAGCTGGCATTCATTTCGTCATGGTAATCACCTCCTTTCTTAGAGATGAAAATCAAGTCACACTCTTCTAAAAAGCCACTATCGCTACCAATATGAGTTACGATCAATCTTTGACCTTTCCCTGACGGTCCACGAAGACCTGTTGACAAACCTTCAATGCTTGCTTGTCGGTTACTCACTATGTTTTTGTCTATCCAGGTTTTTTTAACTGTGTGACCTGCATTTACCCATGTCTCGTCCAAATAATAGATTTTTCTGCTTTGTCGCCTATATTCAATCATTTCGCTTAGGTATTTTCGACGCCAGGCGACTATTTCAGGTCTCTCTATCAATACTGACTTCCGATTACGCCTTTCGTAACGAAAATTAATTTCGTGCAGGGATTTCCTCATTACCTCGACGCTCATTTGGGGTATAATTTCATTTTCCTTGATCGCTGCATGTACAGCCTTGAGGGTTGGTATCTCATTCCTAAAGAAGAATGAATGTACGGTTCGCCTTAACGCCATTTTGCTATCGTCATCCAATTTAACGGCCTTTCGTCCCTTCAAATTAAACTTTGGATCAATAGCACCTCCAGTTTTCTTCTTTTCATGCACCATCCTGCGAATGGTCCACTCTGGAACGCCTGTCATACTTTCCACAACGCGCGAGTGCATCTCCCTGCGACATAGTTCTGTTCAGATAATTGAACACGTTGAGCACGATTTCTTTCGCGTCCCTCTTCAGTGCTTTACGAAGCCGTCTACTTGTTCCCTGGCTTTCAGTACTTCCACTCGTGCCATTTGTACTCTCCATGGTTAAGTATAACCAAAACAGTAACCACAGAAACCACAACAATAACAATCACACAACAATTCTTATAAAAACACACAATATGCGATCGCTCAACGAAACACGTTCCAATGCGTTGCCGACGCCTATGAGTCTGCCGGTCGAGGCGCGTCTTTGATTTCATTGGTTCTACCGGCGGAGAACAATCAGCCATTATTTCCATCTCTGTCTGTGCTGTTGACCACCGCAAAGCCACAGAAACAACATATGTCGTACGCTATACGGCTCTACTGGAAGGAAGCCGGGATCGAGCTCTGATCACGTGTTGATCACGCGTATGAGTCATTACAGTTTTAAATAGTTGTTGTATAGTTGCTGGTCAGTAGTATCTTCGTCCAGCAGCGGAAATGCCATCTTGGGGCTCGCGACTCCCAGCGTGGCACGGCTTGACGTGAACCAACCTCCACCTCTTGTAGGGCCGAATCCGAACGACCTGCGAAGACGCGGCAACGTGGCCAAAGCTCAACGCACAGAATACTGAAAAGCTGGCAAAAATTACAATTTCTAGCGAATTTGTATGATTCTCTGTAAAACAGGGTCTTTCGGATCGCAAATTTCAGATCTGGGGTTATCCTGTCTCTATATGAGCATTTGGAGGTCACAAGTTGAGCAGTTCCAACTGGGGCGAAGGCCGGAACCGTGTTAAAGATATCTGAATAATACTTATAAATAAACAAGCTAAGAATAGTGGTCTGTTCGACTCACGCGGTACATGATAACAACAACAATGACACTTTTTACATTAATGAAAATTCGTGCTTCATTATGATTCATCATTCAGATGTTAAAAATTTTTGATATACAACACAACGGATGATATCAGGTAACCAAATAAGTTCATGCGGTTGCTGTATATCGCACATTGCAATGTTGTTGTTGATGGATAGCGATTGTTTGTTACCTATTGTCACTTAAGTATGAATCCTTCTTCTCTCACACACATAATAAGTTGCTTAAAATTGTTACACACCTAGCTTTAATAATCGAAAGTGGCGACAGTAATTTGAAGTTGTTTACTATATGAGTACAAGCTTGGTACAAAAGCTGCAGCGGCGGCGCGAAAAATATGTATCGCATTCGGAGAAGTGGTTAAAAAATGTTTCTTTGCGAGATCTCAGCTTGAGCGATGAACTGCGCTCAGGGAGACCAAAAATCATGAACAACGAGGATCTTCGACAGGTTGTGGACGCAAGTTCCAGGTCAACGTGCCAAGAACTGAACAGAAATGTTCAGAGTGAGTTCTAAAACTATTCATTTGCATCTTCATCAGCTAGGAAAGACGAGGAAGTTCAACATGAACTGACAAATGATCAAACTAAGTCGTCTTACCATTCGTTTAGCAAACATTTTATGCAACGCTAATTATCCATTTCTTAATCAGTTATTAATCTGCGACAAATAATGGATCTTGTATTCGAATTCTAAGCGTTCGTATCATTGCTTGTCGCCTACTGATTCGGTACCACACACGCCCAAGGCTTCCTTGCACCCAAACAGGGTTTTGTTGTGTGTTTGGTGAACAGCAACTGGAATTGTCCTGTATGAGTTTTTGGAAAGGGTTCAAACCATCACTGATCACTTGTATTGTGAGCATCTTCAACGAGTACAAGTAGCACTCATCCAGAAACAGCCTTCTTTGATCAATCGTAAGAAAGCGATATTCTTGCACAATAACGCCAAGCCTCATACCGCAAAAGTGACCCGAGAAAATTTTCTGAACTCAGCTGTGAAACGTTATCGCACCCGCCATATTCTCCCGACATTTCGCCCAGTGATTGTCACCTTTTTTTTGTCTCTTGACAACTGTATGAGGCACCGACAGTTCACAATTCGAGATCGTGGAATAAATGCAGCCCGCCAATTTTTTGACTCCAAATCCAGTTCTACAATACCGGCATACAAAAATTGGTTCCACGTTAGAAAAAGGTCATTGAATGTGATGGTAATTACTTCAACGAATAAATAGTTATTGTTTCTCAATAAAAATTCATATTTTTCTACTAAAAACTGCACGAACTTATTTGGTCTCGGTATCAATCTGTTGAGATGGAAAACGCACATATTGTTCAATAAGTCCACCTTTCTCTTCGGAGTGTGAATTTTGACATTGACATACATTCAATACACGTAGGTAGCACGACATTCATCTACCCTTTGCTCGATGTAAGCTGGGTAGTAGATCTCCCTCTATCTTAGAACCAAAGATATTCAATAAGCTGCCTGAGTATATTAAGACAGTTAGCTGCTTAAATAATTTTAAAGCTGAGTTAAGAACCTACTTTATTAATAAGACTTCATCAGTGACTTTGTGAATATTTAGATGTTCTTTTTTTGGTATTGTTTGTTATCCATTTATTGTTTATCCTTTTATATACATATTTTTATATTGTACTTCTGTTAATTTATTAATTTTAACTGCTGGAAAGCTAATCTATTTTATCTGCTGTTGTTAGCCTATGGTGTAAATTTTAAAATATCTAATTTAAGCTATTGTTTGTTGTTGCTTGTCATTTTACTGTTTGTTTTTTTTATGTATATACATACTGTAAATTGTTTGTTGACGAACCCTATACATGCTTTATACATGTCTAATTGGTAATGAATAATATTATTATTGTTATCGGAAGGATTGTTGGATATATATTTTTTTAAAGTAGCAAGTACCGAATTGATTTGAATGCCTAAAATTGGTGTTTAGGTTTGGATTTTTAATAAAATCAATTCTCACCGACAGATACAAATCCAAGCGTTTCATCTTCCTTGACTCTTCCAAACATTTTTCTCAGGATCTGCCCCTGCATTAACGTATTTTGAACACTTCATGGTAAAGTATGGAAAATATGTGAACGAAAAGTCAGCTAAAAATGGACAAATAGGAGGGTGTTTGTTTCATTAGAAATACTCAAGAGGTTGATTCATTTGCTATTTTTTCATAATATTTCAAATTCGATCCTCACCATTGGCATCTCGGGAACGGTAGGAGATATGATGTCAGTTGAGCAGGACAAATTTGCGTATTAAGATAATGGCATTTGGGAAGTTTCACAATTCCGAGGATTTTGCGGATAGAGACGAAAAAAACGGAGTTGTCCCAAAGCTGATTTCAAAATAGAAGGTAGACGAGCATTGCTTTTTCTTCTCTATAAGATGGCATAATAAGAATTTCAGTATGATGTTTCATCTCTTGTCCTCAGCCATCGACATTATCTTTACTCACGGACGCCATGTTGGTTTTTTGCACAGGTAAATAGAGTTTCAAATGTTGATTCCCAGAATATCTAAATGTGGGTGTTCATTTACATTACCAACACTTAGCTTTATAAGAAGCTGCCCAAGTAGGCCTTGAAATTATCAGATTGGTCATTTGCTTCATACTATCATAAGCTAGACGTTGTATTTGCATTATTCTTATGAACTTACATTAGGCGAACAGTCCAAATTTTTTATTTCAGTCATTTGGTGTAGTAAAGATAGTTTCATAGATAGAGTAATCTTCCCAAAGTTGGTTTTAACCCATCGAATAAACAATAATAGATAGTCTGGAGAAAAACAATTTAATATCGCGTCCACAAGAAAAAATAAAATTGGTGACTTAAAACAAGAGAAGAAACGTCATATTGAAATTCTAATTACATATGTCATCGGGTAGAGAGGAAGAAGTGGTAATGTTGATGTACTTATTTTAAAGTCAACTATGAACGTGTATAAAAAACTACTTTGATATTGCAAAATAAATTTTTCACGCTGTTGTACTTTCTTATTAGAGCAGCAATAAACGTATTTAACAATATTTGCATATATTATCTGCCCACGAACGAAGAAAAAAATTGATGTCAAGTAGGTTGACTCTGTATTTCCTACGCAACACGCTTATCAGTTCATAATGGGTTAAGTTTAGCACAATTTGAACCTTCTGCGACAAAAAATAGCTACGAACGTGTACAACAGAGAAGTTAAACGGATCAAGTCAGCCAAACTGGCCCATATAATTGGTCAACAGACATTGCTTCCCTGCCCTAGGGGCACTTACCGTCCATCTGGTGGCGTTGTCTTTTCCCATATTGTCGCCAATAACAAGATCTTAGAAAATGCGAAAATTGAGTTGTCGATTTTATTACTTAAAAAAGGCGGCTCTTCAATATCACGAAGTGGCATAAGTCAGTTTCTAACACTTTGAGTTATAGAAAAATAATATTAGACATCTCATTTTAATCGGAAATTAAGTTTCACGAGCGAGCTTAACTCTTAAGTTACGCGAATTTGTGAGATTATAAAATATTATATAATAAAATTTTAGTTTTTTATTTATCACTATACGCTCTGTGACGTATCTATCTTTTTAACTTCATCTTCAGTACGAATACAGCTTTTTACGATTAAAAAGACAAAAACTTAAGTTAAAAAATATTGCCCTCAAAGTTCTGAGTGCAGAGCCAAGAAAAAGTACTACGAAAAAATATATGCATTTGAAGTCGCTGTGTGAAAGAGATGTACCGTTCGTTCGTTTACAAGAATATCATTGATTCTATTTAAATCTTCCTCATGAGCAAATGAAATACTAATTATTATTATTTTGTGCATCTTTAACAGATATTATTATTTGAGTGAGTATTTTGCTTGTGTAACTTTTGTAGGGCGTTACATAGTTTTATATACTGCGTATACTGATTTCGCCATAATATTCACGGTTCCCCATTTTGTAACCATTTTGTCTTGTGATAAAACATTTTTTTGAAATTTCATGTGTTTTTGTTTTTCATCACTTAAATACACCACGGACGTAAATCTTTATTCTATGAATTACGTCCTTTTAATTTCACAAAATGACGTATATACTTTTTTTGGAAATTTTGGACACAAAATAAAAAATGGGGTAATCCTTGTTCATTTTTGAAAAGCTTGTAAGCATGAGCAGATATAGGTACCCACAAATTCAATCATTTTGCGATAACACCTTTTTGTCCGCAATAACTCAAATCTCGTGAAAATATACTAAGTGACATATAAATCTGAACACCCAGTTTAAATGGTTTTATTTTAATAAAAGTTGGTGAATGTATTTATCTTACTGTAAATAACAAGTGAAAAAATTTTCAGCCTTATCAGTTGGACATTCAGATTTTTATACTGCTTTTTTTAATTCACTAGCGCCCTAAAAATGAATATTTCAGTCGCAGTAAAGAATCAACGTTGGCCGATTTTGGTTCTTGACATCCTTTACGATCGGTTACGATGCCTAGAGTACGGAGACCTGTACGATTTCGTCAACTTAGTGAGTTTGATAGGGGCCGTATAGTGGGACTTCGGGAAGCTGGACTTTCTTTTCGGGCAATTGCAGTTAGAGTGCAAAGAAGTGTAGACACTGTGGTTAGGTGTTGTCAGGCATGGCTTCGAGAAGGCCGCACGCAAAGAGCAAGGGGCACTGGATGCCGCCGTAGAACAACAGACCATGAAGATCGCCGCCTAAGATTATTGGCCTTAAGGGACCGTTTCTCCACTACCAGGTCCATTGCAAATGAATGGTTTGCAGAACACGGAAGACCTATTGGCATGCGAAGTGTTTACCGACGAATGAGAAGTTTTAGCTTGTTTTCATACCGGCCACACTGGGTCCTCCCTTTAACTCGAGAACACCGACGTAATCGCCTTGAGTGGTGCAGACAACGGTCACTCTGGGATCAGGAATGGAACAGTATTGTCTTTAGTGACGAGTCTCGATTTTGTTTAGGCATGCACGATGGTCGTGCCAGGGTTAGAAGGCGACGTGCTGAAAGGAGGAATCCACAGTTTTTTGTTGAAAGACATGTTCATCACACTGTTGGAGTTATGGTTTGGGGTGCTATAGCTTATGGTTCCAGGTCACCTTTAATCCTCATCAGAGGTAACATGAACGCGCAGCGTTATATCCACGAAGTTCTAGAACCCCATCTTTTACCCTATCTTGACACCCTGGCAGATCCAACTTTCCAACAAGATAATGCCCGACCACATGTTGCAAGAGTCACAATAGACTTCTTTCAAAATAATGATGTTACATTGTTACCATGGCCACCAAGATCTCCCGACTTATCCCCAATTGAGCAGGTGTGGGATACGATGGGTAGGAGATTGCTCAATTTGCAACGTCCTCCTCAGACTCTAGAAGCACTTCGAGAGGAGTTGGTGGTTGCCTGGAATGAGATACCACAGGAGGACATTGACCACCTGATCAGAAGCATGCCTAGGCGCGTTGGAGAATGCGTAGCACATCAGGGTGCATCCACACATTACTAAAGGTGAAAGGGCTTTAAAGCAGTGAAATCATTTTGAAATTTTTATCATTTACTTATTATGCTTCATTAAGTAATACAAAATTTTATTAGAATAAAACCATTTAAACTGGGTGTTCGGATTTATATGTCACTTAGTATATTTAAGACGCTCTCCTGTAAAATTGGAAAAACTGAAAAACGCCACTTCGTGTTATGGACGACGATATATGCGCGGCAGAGCCCACCGTGACACCGTTGCAGCAGGAACAAAACGAGACGCGTATCGAAAGCACCTCATTTAAGTTTTAAATACAAATATACGGGAAATCCTATGATGTGTGAAATATAATTATAATATATGTTAGGATTGTTCAGTATTATTTAATATTTTGTCTCACCCGATAAATGTTATTTTGTCTCACCTGATAAATGTATC